ATACAAAAGTAGAGAGAAGAACAGAATAAATCTCCATCCACTGTCTCAGTCCATTTTATTCTGCTGTAACAGAATATCTGAGATGGGGGAACTTATAAAGAACATAGGTTATTAGCTGGGGACAGTGGCCCACACCTGTAATCCCAACAACTCAGGAGGCTGAGGCAGGAGGATCGCAGATTTGAGGCCAGTCTGTGTACTTAGCAAGATTCTGTTTCAATGGGCTGCGATGTGGCTCAAGTGGTAGCATGCTCGCCTGGCATGCGTGCGGCCCGGGTTCGATCCTCAGCACCACATACAAAGAACGATGTTGTGTCCGCCAAAAAATAAAATTAATATTAAAAAAAAAAAAAAAGATTCTGTTTCAAGATAAAAATTTAAAAAAAGCTGAGAATGTAGCTCAGTGGTCGAACCCCCCAGGGTTCTATCCCCACTAAAGCCCCTGTTCCCTGCTCCAGCAAAATACTCTATTTGCAAATACAGGTGATAGGACTCCTGTGCCAACCCCTGGAACTGAGAGCAGCTCTACCCCTGAGCTACAGCTCTAGTCCTTACTTTATTTTTTATTTTGAGACAGGTTCTCACTAACTTGCTGAGGTTTGCTTTGAACTTGCAATTCGCCTGCCTGGGCCTCCAGAGTAGCAGGAATTATAAGTGTGCACTACTATAATGCCAGCTGCTGCCAGCCCTCGAGATGGGCAGGAATCCATTCAGGAGGGGAAGCCCTCAAGACCCAGCCGCCTCCAACACTGCAGCATGGGGTCAGGTTTCCAACAGTGCTACTGGGGAGGGAGCATTCAAACCACTGCACCTACCCATTGTACAGTTTAATAATGGTCAACTCATGATCCCCTGGTGTAGTGTGAACCCTACTCCAGCGTGCGCGTTCTCTCTCTCTGTATAGATACAGATATAAATATACACGTATATCTCTATCTATCTATATATATAGAGAGAATATATATAGAGAGAGGAAACAATATATATAATATGTATATTTTGTGTTGGAGACTGAGCCAGTCTTGCTAAATTTCGTAAGGCCTCATTAAATTTCTGAGGCTGATTTTTTTTTTTTTTTTAAAGAGAGAGTGAGAGGCAGTGAGAGAGAGGGAGAGAGAGAGAGAGAGAGAATTTTAATATTTATTTTTTAGTTCTCGGCGGACACAACATCTTTGTTGGTATGTGGTGCTGAGGATCGAACCCGGGCCGCACGCATGCCAGGCGAGCGCGCTACCGCTTGAGCCACATCCCCAGCCTCTCTGAGGCTGATTTTGAACTTGTGATCCTCCTGCCTCAGTCTCCCGATGGCTGGGAATCCTGGTGACTATCATCTAGATGAAATTTCTAGATACGATAAAATTTTATTCACTGACACTTTAGTATCTCTAAAAGATACGGACTTTGTTGTTGTTGTTACCTGGAATTGAACCCAGGGGTGCTATTCCACTGAGCTACCTCCCCAGTCCTTTTTATTTTGTTATTTTGAGATGGTCTCCAACTTGTGATCCTCCTGCCTCAAGCTGCTGGGACCATAGGCATGCCCCGCTGTGCCACTGCACCCGGTTTAAGGACTCCTTTTAAAAGCATAATCACAGTCAGGGCTGGTGGCACAAACTGTAATCCCAGCCACTGGGGAGACTGAGGCAGGAAGATCTCAGGTTTGAAGCCAGCCTCAGCAAGTTCGTAAGACCTTGTTTCAAAATAAGAATTAAAAGGGCTGGGGATGTAACTGAGTGGTAAAAGTTTCCCTGGATTCAGTCCCCAGTGGCGGGGCGGTGGGGGAGGTCTATCCTTTTCACACCTCACAAAATAAGCAGTGGGTCTTGAATGTCATCAATGATATTGCCAGCGTTTAAATTTCCCAGATGGTTTCCTGGATTTGTTAAAAATTTATTTGTTAAGAATAAGAGTCCAGGGGCTGGGGCTGGGGCTCAGTGGTAGAGCACTTCTAGTCATTATTTGGGGAAAATGGAACAATGCTATTTTTAAATGTATTATTATTATTATTTTAGTACCAGGGATTGGACCCAGGTATGTCTAACCGCTGAGCCACATCCCCAGCCCTGTTTGTTTATTGTTTATTTGGAGACAGAGTCTTGTTAAGTTGCTTAGGGCCTTGACAAGTTGCTGAGGCTGATCTTGAACTTGTGATCCTCTTGCCTCAGCCTCCTGGGTTGACTGATGTTAGTTTTTGCTGATCTATATATTATTACTTTTTGGCTTTTTTTTTTTTTTTTTTTTGGTAGAAAAGATGCCTTTCTAATGAAAAAGAAGCTGTGGCTGCTATTTACTGCAGACACTGTGTCAAACTGTGTGGAGAGACTCACTCCTATTAGCTCAGGGAACCCATTTCCACACTGAGTAAGTAACTTGCCCAAGATCGCATGGAGGCCCTGTGTGGGACCTGGATTTGGTGTGTGTGTGTGTGTGTGTGTGTGTGTGTGTGTGTGTGTGGTGTGGGAACGGCACCCAGGGCTTTGTACATGGCAGGCAAGTGCCGCAGAACCTACCCAGCAGCTACCTTTATTCATTTATTTATTTACCTTTTTTTTTTTTTTGAAACAGGTCTCTAAATTGGGCAGACTGGCCTTGAATTTGTAATCCTCCTGCCTTGGCCTCCTGAGTAGTTGGGATTACGGGCGTGTTTCACCGTGCCCAGCCGATTTTTACATTTCTGTTTTATTTTATTGATATATTTTCTGTGCTGCTGGGAACTGAACCCAGGGCCACGGGGATGCTGGGTGAGCGCTGTTCCCCTGAGCTAGGCTCCTAGCCCTACCTTTTAAAACGATTGGGGAAAAGTCAAAGGAAGAATGTTGGATGACACCTGAACGTCACGTGAAGTCCCACTACAGTGTTCGTAGAGTTTTATGGGAACACAGAGTGTTTGTTGTTGCTTACGTATTGTCTGTGGTTGCTCTTCCCTGACAGCAGCGGAGCTGAGTAGTTGCAACAGAGAGCTGGTGGCCCACAATGCCTAAAAGATTTACATTTTGGCTCTTAGCAGAAAATGTTTGCTGACTCCTGCCATCAGGTATCAGTTGAAGAGACACCTGGAATAGGTAACAGAGCAGGTCTTGCATTTATCTGGGGGTATATCTAAGCAGATATCATAGCAGACGCAAAGGTCCTGTGGTAGGATCATGTCTGCTGTGTTCCTGGCAAGATAAGGAGCTCATTGTGATCAGTACAGAGTGGCAAGGCCAGAAAGCAGGGAGGGTCAGAAAACGCAGCATGTAAGGTAAGAGCTTTGGCTCCTACCCCAGGGAGATGGCAGCCATGGCAGTTTTGAAGTGACAGGTGATGTAGTCTAGCTGGGAGTTGAAGCTCTTTTTGTTTATTTTATTTGTTTTGGTTGATTGGTTGGTAGGTATTGGGGATTGAACCCATCACTGTCCCTTTTGAGACAGGATCTTGCTAAATTGTGGAGGCTGGTCTTGAACTTGTGATCCTCCTTCTTCTGCCTCCTAAGCTGGTATTACAGGCATGTGCCATTGCTCACTGATGGAACTATTTTAAGGACAGACCCAAGCTGGCTATGGTGGCATGTACCTGTAGTCCCGCCTACTTTAGAAATGAGGCAGGATAGCCAGGTACGGTGGTGCACGCCTGTAATCCCAGTGACTCAGGAGGCTGAGGCAGGAGGATTGCAAGTGGAAGGCCAACCTTAGCAACTTAGCAAGGCCCTAAGCAACTCGGCAAGACCCGTCTCTAAATAGAATACAAGAAGGGCTGGGATGTGGCTCAGTGGTTAAGTGTTCCTGGGTTCAATCCTTGGTACCCCCCTGCCAAAAAAATAAATGATGGAGCAGGAGGACAGCCTGAGCCAGGAGCCTGAGGCCAGCCTGGGTGCATGGGAAGGCAAAGGAAGGCTGGGCGTGTCTTAGGGAGAGTGGTTCCCTCTCCAGCACCAGTGAGAAGCCGAGAATGAAAAAGAACAAATGGAAAAGGGGACAGATATGGCCTCGCCCTCGGGATTCTGGCCCCCTCTGAAGCAGAGTCAGCGGGGTTTTGCTGTGGAATGGACACAGGAGGAGGCAGTGGAGGCTAACTGAGGCTTTGAGGCTGAGCCAGTAAATCCTGAATTTCCTGGGTTGGGACTGGGAAGCCTGTGGAGGAGCGGGCTGGTGGGGGAGGCCGTGGTGCTCCTGGTGGGTGGCGCTGAGCTTGAGAACCTTCCGGGTGTCCAGAGAGGGCAGCTGTCCAGGGAGCTGCTGGACACGGGAGGTGACAATCAGGAAAGGCCCTGCTAGGGATGGACACCTGGGTGTCCTCATGGGGCCACCACATTGAAAACAGAGGCCGTGGCAATGGGTGGGAGGGAAAAGGGCAGCACTCGGGTGCCTGTCGCCCCTCCTGGCGACCCCCCAGGGGCCTGTCCCGTTTTCCTAGCAGAGTCCCCAGGAAGCACTCACCAGGTCCAGCCTTTCAGATCTAGTCCTGCCCATTTCCTCCTGGTCCAGCCCTGCTCACCGCCCTGCCCTTCCCTGCTCTGCCCTAACAGCCCAGGGCACTCGGCCCCAGGGCCCTTGTCCCTTTCCCTTGGCTGCTGTTCTGCTGCCCAGAGACCCTTGGGTGGCCTGGGGCCACTTCACCCCAACTGCCCCCCCACACAGGCGCTTCCCCTGCTCCCCAGACTCCATGGCCTAACTCATAAATTCACGCGTTTACTCTGACGTCTGCCTTCTCTGTCGAGACCACGAGACCACGGGTTCCACGAGGGCCAGGACCTTGTCTTATTCTTGGGCGACACTTTACATACAGCAGGTGCTCAAATATTAGCTGGAAAGTGGAACAGTTCATGTTCTGCATCCCCTGCCCCGAGCCTCACAGTCCAGCTCCCGAACACCGGGCTCCGCAGAGGCTTGACCTCGCTCCGAGGCCTCCTCCACACTAGACCTGGGCACAGTCCCCAGGGAAACCTGGGACCGAGACTCCGCCCCTTCCACGAGGAGGCAGGACGCAGCGCGCAGAGCTTTATCTTTTCAATTCCTATTTTTATTAGATTAGATATCAGTGGGTTCTAAAAGAGAGGCCTGGGGATCATGTACGTGCTGAGCGCTTTCAGAACTGCATCGACGGCAGCTTCAGCAGTCATTAGTTTTAGTCTATGTACGTCCCAAGAGTGTCACCATCTCTAAATGCGAAGTCATCCTTGTCTTTTAGCACCGCCTTTGGCACCTCTTTTTGTGGGTGAAGGCTTTACACCTTCATAGTTGAACCTCTTCAACCCCTGCCCCCAAGGCCCTGGTGCTGGTTTTGAAGCAGGGTACGCATGCCTGGCAAGTGCTCTATCATATCTCCAACTGGTAAAAGAAAAAAAAAAAATGAGTCCCAGGGATTACTCCTCTCCTTTCCTTTGATCTCACAGTCCGACTGTGGCTTTCAACACTTTTCCTTAAGATTTTTCTGGAAGCATAACGCCTCTTTTGGTTAGTTTCAGCTACACTCCTTTCCACCAAGGCTCCGTCCAAGGGCCAAAAGAGCTTTCTAAGTGCTTGGTCTGGGCAGCTTTATGAGGTGATCAGGTTGTGGAACTGTAAACTGGGTGGCGCAGGTGATCCTTGGACACGCCCCTTCCAGGTCTTACCTGCCCTTGGAGGGAGGGGCTTCCTCCCCTGGTTTAGCAACACATTTTGGTGTTTTTCTGCATGGGCGCTGATACATCCGCCAGGACCTGACCTCTTCCCCGGGATATCCCAGTTACAGCCCAAGTGACTGTAGGTTTCTGCCAAAAGGGAGAATCCTCTTTCTCTTGTTCCTAAAATCAGGTTTAAAAAAATTAACAGTTATGTTGAAACTGTAACTTAGAATGGCACCTTGCTAAAACAGAAAAGGGGATTTCTAGGGCCGTGAAGCTACGCCTGTGATGCTGTCATGGTGAATACGTGTCAGATGGACATTTCCCGAAGCTTGCAGAAATGCACAACACGAGACTGAAACAATGCCGGCAAGGACCTTAGTTAAAAACGATGTATTAATATCGGGTCATCTAGGGCCAGGTGAGGGGGCGCACACCTGTAATCCCAGCGGCTGGGGAGGCTGAGACAGGAGGATGGAGAGTTCAAAGTCAGTCTCAGGCAAAAGCAAGGCGCTAAGCAACTCAGTGAGACCCTGTCTCTAAATAAAATACAAGATAGGGCTGGGGGGGGGGCTCAGTGGTCGAGTGCCCCTGAGTTCAATCCCCGGTACCCCACCCCACCCCAAAATATTGGCCTATGGAGTGTATCAGATGTGCCTCGCCGAGGTCAGATGTAAAGAATAGGGGGGAAAGGTACGTGGGGGTGGGGGAGTGAAGAAGTGAGTATATGGGAATTTTCTACACTCTTTAATTTTCTATGAACCACAGTAGTTCTAAACAAACAAACAAAAAGTCTATTAATTAAAAAAAAATTAAAAGGTGCATCGTTTAATGAGTGCAGAACTCGGGAGGAAAATGACTCCCATTTCCCTGCCTTATGACTCGGAAATAGAAACATATTTAGGTGGGGTCAGGAACCCTGAGGGAGGTGGGGAACAAGCGCTGTCACCTTTCTCTGCTTTGAAATAGCGCCACCCTTCTTGAGTTTGAGCAGCATGTGGCTTTGCTGGGCTCTGGGGTTTGTGCCTTGCTGGGGATGATCCCTGCAGGACTCTGCCTCTAAGCAGTGCCCGTCCCCTCGGTTACTTTCTAATGTGAATCTTTTGTTATCCCAAAGAAAATTCTCAGGCTCGGGCTCTTAAAAGACAACACCAAGTGCTTCAACGACTGACAAACCTCAGACTTCCTGTATTTCTCTGACTCTCAGGGTTCTCTTCCTCCTTCTTTAATTGGTTAATGATCTCTGGGGCCACAGGCTCTGTCTGCAGCAGTTTCTAAGTAGATCAGTAGATCAAAGGTGAGTCTGCTCTAAGTCACCAGTGTCATTTCACTTGGATATCGAGCTATTAAAAACAGAGTTGCGGGTTTCTCAAGGACAACCAGGGTATGGATTTGGCAACCCCAGCCTCCTGTGGCACAAGCCATCCTGGGCTCTGCCAGCCTATCCCTGTCACCCATTATTCCTTCCTCCGTCTACACACTCCTGGGAGGCTCCCCACATGCCTGTTCCTGCCTTCAGAAAGGTAATCCACTGCTGTAAATCAGCAAGGGAAGAGAAACCGCCTCATTTCTTTGACAAGCATTTTTTAAAAGGAGATTTGTGTTCCCAAGCTTAATTAATTGTTCCTAGGGATCATGACGCCTTTAGGTGAGGGTTTTTTTTTTTTCCCTTTAAGAACAAGGTTCTTATGTAATTTGTTTTGCATTTCTGGAATGAGGAACCTTTTCTGTTGACAGTGTTGTTAAAATCTAGACAAGGCGCCGGTGTGATAGATCACCCAGAGCCCAGGAAGGAAATGATTCACCCCAGTGTGGAGCAGCAGGTGTTCCCGAGCTGGGGTTGCAAGGCAGGTAGGATGCTAGTTACCAGCACGCAGCGGGCCTGTCCCCTTCACCCTGTCTTCCAGAGGGCACCCCCAACCCCTGCCCCGCCCAGCTTGGCGGGCTCCCATGGGGTCCTTCCTGTTCTATTTCCTCTGTCCCAGTAACAAGATGCTGGGAACTCTTCCTCCATTTTAATTTTGAAAATAAATCTACAAAAGTGAGATTTTTCAAATAAGCCATGTCTGTTTACATGGATCTTCCCAGGCTACTATGTTTTCATTTTGTACTTATATTTTTTATTTCTTATTTATTTATTTATTTTTGATAATGGGGATTGAACCCAGAGGCGCTTAACCACTGAGCCATGTCCCCAGCCCTTTTTATTTTATTTTTATTTTTTTAAAGAGAGAGTGAGAGAGGAGTAAGAGAGAGAGAGAGAGAATTTTCAATATTTATTTTTCAGTTCTCGGCGGACACAACATCTTTGTTGGTATGTGGTGCTGAGGATCGAACCCGGGCCGCACGCATGCCAGGCAAGCGCACTACCGCTCGAGCCACATCCCCAGCCCCTTTTTATTTTAATTTTTTTTATTTTGAGACAGGGTTTTGCTAAGTTGCTTAGGGCCTCCCTAAGTTGCTGAGGCTGGCTTGAAACTTACCAACCTCCTGCCTCAGCCTCCCGAGCCACTGGGAGTACAGGCACACGCCATCGTGCCCAGTTGTACTTATATTTTTATTGAAACCAGAAATGTGTGCTGCAAATCAAACACATCCATCACCAATAAAAAGATATCAAACAATAAAAACAAAATAGTGGAGAAATAAAGGTTTAAAATATGTATTTCATTGTATTTCCCTCTCCTTGTTTTAGTAAGGCCTACCACAGAGATGCCCAGGTCACAAACTACAGAAGTTCACCCTTCTTAGGAAGAGTGATGAGAAATATTTCTCATCTTCCTTTGTTTACTTTTACTTCAAAATTTAAAATTGATCACTATTGGAGGGAAATAATCTGAATATTTTACACATTGAGATTCAAGTTCTTGTTTTTATTCCATTGATTCTACAGGGAGGTCATCAGACTTGATGTATGTATTTTGAATTAAAAACACTAAAATTAGGCAGGGCCACGATAAGACTTTTTTGTGGAATTCTTCCTTCAAAAATAAATAGATAGGCCTGGTGCCGTCGGTGGCACACACCTGTATTCCCAGTGGCTCAGGAGCCAAAGGCAGGAGGATCGAGAGTTCAAAGCCAGCCTTAGCAATAGTGAGGCGCTAAGCAACTCAGTGAGACCCTGTCTCTAATAAAATACAAAATAGGGCTGGGGATGTGGCTCAGTGGTCGAGCGTACCTGAAATCAATCCTTGATACTCCCCCCCAAAAAATGTATATTTCACTGGACATGGTGGTGCATGCCTGTAATTCCAACAACTCAGAAGGTTAAGACTGAAAGATCACAAGTTCAAGATCAGCCTGGGCAATTTATCAAGACCCTGTCTCAAAATAACAAAAAAAAAAAAAAAAAAAGGAGGGGGGGGAGGCAGGCTGCATGTAGCTCACTGGTAGAGCATTCTTGGGGTCAATACTCAGTACTGCAAAACCAAAACAAAGAATATATATTTCCAAATAGGCAAATGAATGGGTTCTCACCACAAAAAAATGAGAAGTTGGTAGTGACAGTTATGTTAATTAGTGTGATTTAATCTTTCCACAATGTAAACCTAAATCAAAATATCATATTTACCCTGTAAATATACCCAAGTATTATTTGCCAATTAAAGATCAATTTTAAGGTCTGCCGATGTAGCTTAGTGATGGAGAGTTTGCTGAGGATGTGCAAGGCCCTGGGTTCAATCCATAGTACCTCATATGCACAAATTCAAATCTGCCAATGAGTTGTCATAATTATGAAAAATAATTGTACTCATTTTTAAAAAACTTCAATATACACTAAAGAGGTATTGAGTGTTCAACATCAGCATACAAATAAATTATGGTAACTTTATTAAACAGTGTGTTACTCTACATCAAAAAATGTTTTTTCTTTCTATAGATAGCCATTTTTTTCTGTTTGAAGTGTAAAAAATATTTTTAAAGGGTCTTTCACATAGAATTAGGGGGAAGATTTGTGGAAACAGGCATTCATACATGTAGTGGGTCAACTAACATTGACTTTTGAGAACTTTTTGGAAGGCACATTGGTGGTATCTATTGAAATACAAACAGTGCAGTGAGGACCATGATACATGCCTGAAATCCCAGCAACTCAGGAGGCTGAGGCAGGAGGATCACAAGTTCAAGGTCAGCCTCAGCAATTTAGTGAGGCCCTAAGCAACTCAGCAAGACCTTGTCTCAAAATAAGAAATAAAAAGGGCTGGGGATGGAGCTCAGTGGTAGAACAACGCTGGGTACAATCCCCAGGACCAAAAAAAGAAAACAAGAAATGCAAACTGCAACTTCTACTTTCAGGCATTTCCTCTACAAATTCATTCTCACAAGTGCAGAAATGTATGGGGATTTATATCTACCTTCACATCTACACACATGTATATTTTAATATTTTTGAAGCAGGTTCTTGCTGTTTTGCCCAGGCTGGTGTCAACACCTGGGCTCCCAGGATCAAGCGACCCTTCTGCCTCAGTGTCCAAGCAGCTGGGAGGTTCACACTCCTGAATTTATCCTGTTGTACAAGTATGTAAACACATAGATATTCATGATTGTAAAAATTTAAAAAAGAATAAGCTCCATCAAGAGACTGCTTATATAAACAATGGGCTCTTTCCACTATGGAACACTACGTAGTCATGAAGAATAATGTGGCATGAAATGACATGGCTCAGTGACCAGAGTCACATTACCTGTCCATTCCTAAACCAGTGGTTCTTAACCAGGTACAATTTCTTTTTTTTTGGTACTGAGTATTGAACCAAGGGTTGCTTAACCATCAAGCCATATCCCTAGCCCTTTTTTATATTTTATTTAAGAGACAGGGTGTCACTGAGTTGCTTAGGGCTGTGCTAAATTGCTGAAGCTGGCTTTGAACTCCTAATCCTCCTTTCTCAGCCTCCTGAGCCACTGGGATTACAGGCATGCACTACTGTGCCCAGCAAGCAGGTGGAATTTTTTCCTAAAGGGAATATTGTCAATGTCTGGAGGCATTGGTTGTGAAAGCTGAGAAGCTAGGTTGCTACCAGCAACACAGTGCATTAGCCATGAGAAATTAGGCAAGTTATGTATGGACAACAATAGCAATAACAAACATTTATGTAGCAACTATTATATGCTGGATGCTGCTGCATGTACTCCACAGACGCTGACTACCCTGGCCCTCACAACTGCTCTCTGAGGAGGGG